TCTTTTTCCTCTATGTTTTCTGTTGCCATTCCATACCAATTCCTGAACTTGATAATTTATGAGATATTTTTTCCCCTCCAAAGAATGCTGACATCTTATCTGCTGTGTATAATAATAGAAGTTTTGAGAGAACTTATGGATTAGTCTTGGACATACTAAGAATGCATAGTCAAATAAAATACTTCCTGAAACCAGGCAGTTATGTGTTATAACCACCATTTGCTGGTTAAATATTGAGTGCTACATGAGGGTGAAGTGTAAGCCAAAGGAGCAAGGTACTTAATTTAAGGGAAATAGAATTATGCTACAGAACTCTGAGATAATCTGTTGTTTGCCTGCTCATTTACTTATTGGAAATTACAGTAACAGGGACCCATGTAAATTTATGTCAAGATTTCTTTTGAGAACATTGAGATCTCAATTATCACATCACATAAAAATTCAGTTTCACAGAAGTGGATAAACAGGCTAATTTGAGATTCACACTTTTCCTATGTAAATAAAAAGATTGAGAGCATTTATAAACATGCCCATATTTAAAAGACATACATTGTTACAGAAATAGCTAATTGTCACTCCCATAGCTATAACCAATGTCTTTGTCTGTGATGATCCTCAGAAAAAGTTGTGTTGAGAACGTTTAGCCAGCCACACAAAAGACTATAGAAAAAGAAATGTGTGCAAAAGAATATTAAGAAATCAAGATAGTCAGCAGTGCAACCTCTAAGTTATGTCTTCATTGCAATGTTTCAGATGACTTGATGCTGGATATTGAATGGAATGGGGATGGCATTTGTTATCGGTGTGGTCACTATATACTGAGTAATCTAATATATTATCAGGTCTGGGGGGGATTTTTGTTTGTTTGTTTCCTTTCCTTTATCAAAGTATTTCATGATTCTCCTCTGACCTGCCAGCTCATCACAGAACTTTAAGAATGAACAATTTATGATATGAGAAAGCACACATTTAATAAGTTCATTTTCCACCCATAGAGTTTTTGCTTGCTAACCTACCCCACCCTAAATAGAGAAAAAGGATCATGCAGAGTAAATCAAAACAAAATATTTCAACAGGAATTGCTTTCTGCTGATAGTAAATGGTGGACCTCCCCAGACCTGCTGAGTCTGTAAAATGTAGAGGGAAACTACAGTAGTCAAAGATTACTTCAGATTAAATGTATGAATATGATTTTTCCAGTTTGGACATCTGAGCTCCCTTCACACATATAAACAGTTTACCAATTAAAAAAAAAAAAGCCCACCACACAAACTATTTTATATGTAAAACTGTTTACTGTAACTGGAAATAGGATTTAGAAAATTTGTCTGTTCTTGTTTCTTGGTTTTAGTGAATAAAGGGCATGGTATTTTGTAAACATATGATAACACGCCACATTTTTGCATGTGATATTCTGCAGGCAATTTTCTGTAGGCTCTCTGTAGAACAATTAAAACTTGAAACGCTGAAATCATATTTTATATTATAAATTCAAAATATTTAAGCAGTTTATAGAAGATAAACAGTCATAAAGAAACACAATATAGATTGGTCAAAATTAAATTGCAGTATCTTTTCACAAATGTATATGTCCCTATACTTATTTTGCATAAACGTCTACAATCTTACAAGGAGTTACTCTGTCTTATAAATGAAAAGCATGTTTTGTAATTATATAACTCTAATATAGTGAGAGATTGTTCCATTTTACACAACTAGTAACTATTTCTATAAGATGCTTGATAATGTTTTGCTTTAATTATTCGTAAATATGAAAATGGTCCCATTTTTTTCACAAACTATGATGTTGTAAAATTACTTCACAGGTTAATGAAGATTCCTCAAATGCAAAGTGCAAAAAAAAAAAAAACATACATAGGAATTAGAAACTGTTGCATGTAGAATAAGTGCTAGTTTGAAACTGTACTTCAAGTGATCTTGTTAATAGAAAATTGGCAATAAGAGGTAAACTCTTCATTGCTAGGAAATCACATTCTATTCCCAAATTTATCATGCTTGAAAATTCTGCTTATCGTTTTGTAGAAACACGAGATAAGTAGGAAGCTTAAAATACCCATCACAGTTTGAGCTACCTGACATCTCTGTAGATAGTTTGAACAGACAGATAAAATAAATTAACCTATTCTCTGAGGATGTATGTATAGCTGAAGAGCAGGGTAAGGGAATGGCAATAGACAGACATGATTTTTTTCCAGAACCACTTGTTAGTGCAGAGAAGATCACTGCTCCCACTACTTGCTCATCGTCACCCCATTTCAAGAGGTTATCAACCCTGGATTACCAGCAGAGTTGCTCATATGAGCGATCAAAATGAGGTTGTCAAGCTAACACTATTTACGTTCACAGCCTGGACCTCTGCTACTCATCTGCATCTGTCTTCTCTTAGTATAGAAGACCTGTTTTCAGCAGATGACCAGCTCTTCAAGTCTAGAAAGAGTTTGTAGGAATAGAAAATTTCAAATAGCAAAATTTGCAATCTTAGTAAGTAAAGTTAAGTTACTTTCTTTGCAGTCTGCCAGGCAGGCTGGTATGGAGATAATACCTGTGGGCCAGAGTCCAGTTTAATTTATATAACAATAAGCAAGTTAAATAAATTTCTATCAATAACAACGTGTGTTGGAGTATATCCATGTGCAGGGAAAAAAAAAAAAAAGCCGCAGGGAGACTGACAAATTATTTCAAAAGTACAAAGAGTAACTTTGTAAATACAGGACAGAATGTGCAGCTACTCAACTTTTGAGAACTTACATGTCTAATGTAAGCACTTACATGACTAATGTTAATACTATAAAGAGTTTAACAAACTACTGATTAGTGACTGATGACTTATTGTGTGGGAATCAAGAAGTACTTCCTTAAAATCAGTGTTGAGAAAGGATGTTAGCTTTATGGAGGCTCCAGCCTCCCTAATGCCTTATGTTAAGCAATTTCCCTTCTCCTGACCTATGGCATTGATCCCTCACCAAGCTCCCAGCCACAGCTCTTGCTCTGGCTGCTCCCATGGCTGGCTGGCTGAGGATGTTAGAGAGGCACGTAACGACACAGGGCATCATAACAGGCACTTGGATGTTTTAAAGACTCAACAAGGAGCTGGCCTGTCTTCATGAGAAAACTAGGTTCAGGTGCTAGCCATCAGTCCTGAGATCTGATTCTTATTTGGCATATGTTAAAAAGGCTTCTACCTCAAGAAGAAAGGAGAAAGCTATATTTATGCCACTAGGTGAGGAATATCTCAACAAGAATAAATGTGTACTGTTTCTTAGGGACAGGAAATTGTCCTGTGTGGCACAAGACAAAATCATCTGACTGAAAGAAATATGCTATATTTTGTACTTGACATACAAGTAAGTCCACTCTTTTTTTCCTGCAAGTAAGAATCAAATATGAAAATAAGATCAAACATGAAAATCAGAATCATATATTTTTAATTAACTTTGTATATTGATTACATAGTCCTTCACATTCTGCGCCAAAAACACCCATACAATATTTAAGTTTATTTTCTCTGTATTACCTGTAGAGTTTGCAAGCTGACAGGGACTTTTGAGTGCTGTATTCTTTCAACCCATTGTATACAATCCTTAAGAATTTTTACAGATACTTATTACAGATATACAATGAATATATTAAGTGTTAAAACTGTTTGGATAGTCACCTTATCCAGTCTTACCTCTAGAAGACCATAACAATAATCAGATCACATTTGGTGACTAGTGTTAGGCTACAGTGTTAAGCTAGAGGGAAAAATCAAAGTGAAGAAATTTAACAAAATCCACCACAATCACCCTTCATACAGGTGGAGTAATAAAAAGACACAATGGCTCAGCTGAAAAACATGGTGATAAACACTGGCAGGAATACAGAAACAAGGAAAGAAGTAGAATAAAATAACTTATCTAGCTCTAGTGACTATCTAGAGTAATACCTTTACTGATACTGCACAGTATTTTCTCAGGTGGATGATATACTATATTTTTCTACTCAGAGAAATCAACAAAATGCTGGGATAAGATTCTTTCTGTCCACATTTGAAAAATACTCAGGTCACTGATCTGTGGCCAAATGTGACTGTAAGCATATATCTAAGGAAAATATGCTGTAGATGCTCATAAAAAGGAACTGTCGGTCCCTGTAAATAAAATTAGAGGAATAGGCTTCTGAAAAAGAGTATTATATGAGAATTTCTAGTGCCTGGGTCAGCTTCAATGGCTTACTTTGGCTTTGGTTTTAAGCACTTTTTCATAATGGCGCTATATAGCAAACTAATCAGTGCCTGTTAAGTTCACAGGGATACAGTTTTGAACCCTTATGAAGAGGTACAGTAGGAAAAGGACTGTTAAACCCCACTCCATGCTTTGAAAATTTACCTCCTAGTGTTCTTGAAAATGATTTCTCCTGTGTGGAGAAGACTAGAAGGAAGGAAGTAATTAACTGAGGTAAGATATTCCTAAAGAAAAAATAAAACAAGAATACAACTAGAAACACAAGTTGCTTAAATCAGAACATTTATAGCTGATTTTGGAAAGTTCAGAAGCTGTAATCCTTAAAACCCACTTCTTCTATGTTGTTACAAGGTAACTGTTTGCCTTATCAGCAATCAATAAATGGGAAGACAAGTGCTATTTTGCAAATAGAAACTTGGGAGTTTTACACCCCCTGTCATCTTCAAAAAGGAGACTTCTGGTAGTTTCTGGAGAGACTATTCAAAGAAATATAATCTTTTGGTTTAGGTTGGTCATTTTAAATACTACTCTAATATCTTCTACATCCCTCTGTGTCCTTACGAGTTTGTTTAGAGCTATTTTTTGTGTATGACTGAGTCTCAAATTTGCAATTTTTCCAACAGTGAAACAGAAGATAACCACTGCTGACCCCAATTACAGTCAAGATTGTACAGACTTATTCATATAAGCTGAATGATTTGGTCTGTAATAACAATACATATATTTATAGAATTCTTCTTTTCTACCTCCCTGAAGCTACACACTGACCAAGATAAAGGAGATGGAAATTTAAAATACATATTAACAGGAGATGGGGCTGGCAGTCTGTTCATTATAGATGAAAATACAGGAGATATTCATGCTGCAAAGAAATTGGACAGAGAAGAAAAGTCCCTGTATGTGCTACGTGCCAAGGCTATAGACAGAAAAACCGGAAGACAAGTGGAGCCAGAGTCTGAATTTATCATTAAAATCCACGATATCAATGACAATGAACCAAAATTCACCAAGGACATGTACACCGCCAGTATTCCGGAGATGTCTGGAGTTGGTAGGTAAAAACCTATCCTTATGTAAAATACAAATGTGTTTCAGCTGATTTGGAACTTATAAGTAATTTACTATTTGAGGCACTTAATACAAGCTTCTGTGAATATCCATGGAACAATTTTTGTTGCCAGTAATGTATCATAAATGATTGGTTTCTGCTTTTATTTATTTGTTTCATCTTCATCTACTTTTTAATCCTTTTTCCACACTATGAGCTACTCTTTTAAGCCCACTGAAACCATCAAGGAAAGTAGCATGTACGGTTTTCTTATCAGTTACTACATGGTTTTGCCACAGCTGAAAATGTAACTTGCATAAAATGTGTCCTCTTTGTATTTGTAACATCTAATTTACCAAACCTTTCTGTACCTTTAGACATAAACAGCTTTAAGCACGTAAGTATGTAAATCAATGATTGTATCAAAATGATGCCAAATATGTTCCTACAAATACCTAAAAATTTGCTTTGTGGTTTTTTTTTTTGTTTGGGTTTTTTTAAATTATTTTTTCTCTTTCATATCAATATTATAGTTGTTGTAGGTGGTTTTTTTTTAATGTGGACTTGTTTGTTTGGGTTTTTTTAACATGGGCTTGTCTCTTTGGTTTTTTTTTTTTTTTTCAGATACCAAATATATGAACACCTTCCCCAAAGAAATAACTCTTTTTGTTTAAAAAATATTTTTCTTCATGAATAAAAACTTACAGCTATTCACAACTGCTGCAATTAAAAGTAAAAATGTGGAGTGGCAGTAGAAGACGGATGAGAAATATAGCATCAAAGGAAAATAATTCTCTGAGTTTTGTTCAAATAATATAAAGTGATAGGTAATATTCACCAGCACACATTCATCAGAAGTTATCATGATTACCTAAGTGCTCCACTCTTTTACAGCAGAGACAGTCTCTCTGATGAGTAAGCATAAAATACATAGGTTATGGGAAACAACTTACAGATAAATTCTCAAGAGTTATTTACTTATCAGGAATTACTGTAATGGTTTGCAAAATCAGCCCTGGATGATGGCATTGCTAAGAGAGACAATAAAATACCAATCAACATTTGTGACTAATATGTATGTTTGCAAAATAATTTCCAGAAGCTAATAATTGGCTCTGAGAGCAGTAGCAGAAGTAGAACGGAACAGGACTCTATTTTATAACTCTCTTTTATAATCACAAGAAGGGAATAACTACACTGCTATGTATAATGCGAAGAGTCCAAGAAAGTTACATAGAAAATAGAGAAAACCTTTCTATTCAGAATTTACTTTACTGATAATCTGTGAAGGAAAAATGTTGACAGTGCACCTGTCATATTTATTTGAAATATATATGTAAGGAAGGAACTCTATAGGAATAGATAGGCTAAAAAGCATGATGTCCAGGTTTAACCTTATCACTTAGTCCAATTTTATTTGAGTCATTGGAGAAACATGAATAAAAGAGAACAGAATAAGATCCAGTGCTTTGGCACTGCCTGTGAAATTTTAAGTCTATGAAATGTCTATGTTTGATGAGGATGATGATAGTATAAGCGCCATTATGTACTTTAAGCTGAGAAAGTGTCCATAAAGGACTCAAGTAAAGGTGAGTTTTGCTGTGAAGAAAGAATTAGAGGAAAAGGATTTAAAGAGTAAAAAAAAAAAGCCCCTTAGCTTCCAATATGAAGGCAAAAAATGGATCCAAGTTATTCTTTGCTCTGTTTAGTTGACATTTCCTTTTGGGGATATAAAAACTACACTGGAATGGCAATTTTCAGCATTTGAATTTTAATGAGTAAAAGTAGTTTTGTAATTTCTTAAAGTAGCAGAAAATAAGAACCCAAATCCAGATCAGTCCATTCAAGAAGCAGAAATTCTATTTTTTCGGTCAGTCATAAGAATGTTAATTCAACAGTCAGGATGTACATAAAGGTAAATAAGGAATACACAAATATATTCCTTCTCGGAGTCCCTTTGTCCTCCTCCAGGTAAGGAAGCAGATGCCATAACTGGAGAAAATTACTTGGGAGTGAAAAGGTGAGATTCTTGCTGTAAGTGGACTAGAACTCACAGGTGAGCAAGTGGTAGTCTTGTATACCTTCCCATAAAGCACACGAGAACACATAAAATACAGAATGAAGATAGTGTAGTTCTTGAAATATCTAGACAGAAGAAAGCTACATGAGTGTAAGCCAGCAAATATGCACTAGGTGGCACATACAACAAAATACAGGGAAAAGAATAAAAAAGAGAGAGTGACAAAAATTAAAGTAAAAAATGATACAGTGTGGCAATGGGCTGTGTAAGTAGCTCCTGGTTTATACTTTCCACTGTGGCTAGGTTATCCATTTAAAAATTTCTAATGCATTATGAAAATGCCATTTAAGCAGTTGTTATTCTTCATTCAGTAGGTATGATTTAATGAACAACTACTATCTTTTCTTTTGTCTGGATATACAGTCCAAAGAATTTTTTCCTGAATATAGTGTTTATTGCAGAACATCACAAATTTACAGAATTGTCAGTTATGCAAGTAGGTTCATTAAACCTCAACACAATCTCTTCAGTGATTTTGGTATATATTGCTGTTTGCAGATCAGATAGGTGTCAAATAGAAGTCCAAAAGCTCAACTTGGTAAGGAAGTAGGGCCAAGCATTTTACATGGTTCTGGAATGTGGAATTTAAAATGGAATTTGAAGTTGGAGGGTTGTGTAAAATAAGTCATGAAGGAAGAATAAACTGAGGAATTACTGACTGAGCAATGCACATTAGGGGTATTGCTGCTGTGAAAGTAAGTGCATCTGAAAGAAAAGGACAGAAAATGTCCTGAAAATGAAAAGAAAGAAAAAAGACTGAGATCACAAAAGTGCACTCCAGAAACCAGAAGACTTCAGAATAAAAAAATGAAGGGCCCCTTAGTTCTATGTGTTCCTCTATAACAAATGGAAGAAAATAAAAATAAAATAAAAGCAAGAATCTCTGGAACAGGGTGATCTCTTTACTAAGACTACATCGAATGAAAAAAATCAGTGTAGTCCTGCATTACCTGCATAGATATTTAAGACGATGTGGGTTACTTGTTATAACTATATATACACAGATTCTTGCATCCCTAGCCAAATAACCTTTCTGACTGGAAAGAACTATACAATTACACTATATACACTTCAAGCAATAGATATACTAATGATGAGCAGGTCAAAAATTTGTGGGAAAATCTCAGTTTCTTTCCATCCTTGACTTCCTCCCATTTTTTGTCTTAAAATAGAATTTTTTTCTTAACTATTATATTTATTATGTTTGCCAAGTTCAACAAATATGACAGCAGATATTTATGAAAGCTAAGGAAAATGTCACTAAGATTGAGAAATTGAAGAGGAATCATCACTAGCAATGTTTGCAGATGTGTGTGTATGTTATTTAAATGACATATCATACTACGTATTTCTTACTGTGTTACTGACGGTTTCTTGGAAAAACTAGATCTAGAGCACACAAGGGAAAATGATAAGTCAACACCCCTGACAGAATGTGTGATTTTCAGTACCAATAGGCAAACCTCACTCATGTTTAACTAGTTTGATAGGAAGAACAGTGAAAGCATAACATGGATTTTCAGCACAACCTATCCAAGCCCAGGGGGAAATATGGATGCTTATTTGTGCAGTAGTTTGTGCTAATCCTATGTTGTAATATCTACACTGCAGCCATCAAGCCGTACATAAATTAGCCTTGCTATGCCTAAATGGCATCCAGTCATATCTCCAGCAGCATTATGGGTATACCTAAAATGCTGTGTAGCAAAGTTAGCACTGGAAGCAATCAAAACCATTGAAGTAAGCTGACTGCAGTGTAATTTCAGATAGCTTTTATGGAAATGATCATGCTAAAGGCTCACAGTGATATTAACTTAAAAAATTAAATGAGAAAGTTTAAGAGATTCTAAAACTCAATAACATGGAATTTCTCACCAAAATCATCTACTATACTGAAGAACTAGAGGATAATAACTGCTGTAGCTATACTTTTAAAGAATGCTAGAGTTGACTGGGAGAATCCTGAGATTTATGTCAGACTAGGTAAATTGATTCAATAAAAAATAGTTCCAAAGATGAGAAAAAGATGCTAGACAGACCCATAAAGGTTAATCAAAACATAATATATAAAGTAAAGGAACAAAAGACGTTCAACATTTTAAATTGATGGACTGCCAAAGCTGTAAGATACAATCTTAGTCACAATGAAGAGCAGGAGGATTTGAAGCATGACCTATTCTGATTTAGCTATATTTTAGAAATACTGTAAGAGGAAACTTCAGAGAAGCTCAATACTTATTATGCATCTTGAGAATAATCTTTTCATTTCCTCTTCATGTAGAAGGAAAAGTACAGCCCTGATCATACTTAAAATCTACTCATTTCATCTTCAAGGCTTACACGAGTAGAAGCTATGATCCAAGCATTTTTCCAAGTGAAAGATGATTGCTAAAAAAACAAAATAAAATTAAATCAAAACTAACCCTACACCCTTGGTGAAAACCACTTTTCTTAGGATATAAATAAAGTTATTAAGAATTTTTTAAAAAGGGAAGTTAGAAATGAGACGTCCTGTGGAGTTCAATCCCTTTTGACTCCTGGGTCAATATTATTACATCCTCCTGTACCTGCCTTGGTAATTTTAATGAGTAAGGCTTACCATTTGTCCTCATTAAACATCTTTAGCATCCAGCTGATGAGTATTTCACAACATATTTTTAATCTTTGAATTGATCCTGTTAAGAGAAGAGATAATGCCTAATTTAATTTAGCACTCATTACTTCATACTTAACTGCTGCTTTGTAGATTTTATGGTTCTAATCAAAGGCACCTCCTGGTTCAAAATTTCTACATGATAAGATTTGTATAATGTATAAGTACAGAGGGCCATATTTTAAATAGCTAAATTTAAAATTTAGAATTTTTCCAATAAATTACTGTTATTGCAAATACAGTCAGAATAAAAGAGTTTTTCTTTAGCTG